TGAACACGTACTCTCCTATTTAGAAATCAGTCTGGTAAAATTTAGCGCAATGCTACAAAATTTGTTAAAGTGTAACTACAAGGAAATCTCCCTATGGTTTTGAATTTTAATAATAAAATGAACATGTCATAAACTTTTAACATACAAAGGAATGAGGAATGTTAAGTTTTTTGGCTGGAATTTCACTTTGAAGTGACACCTAAACTCTGGTTTAAAAATTTATGATTTAAGTACATATTTTAACTCAAAAAGTATCTTCTATTGCTCTCAGATCCTTCACAAATCTTCAAATTCTTTTTTCCTTTTTTGTTGCTGTGATCTGAATTCCTGTTTGAGTGTGCACCATTGGTTCTTCCACGGCCCCACTAAATGTAGGCACATAGCCACCCTCTCTTGCTCTCTCTTGAGTTGGCACTATAAACTATGTAAGCAACTTAAGAATGCACTGCTTGTCCAAAACAGTGATGGGAAAACAGAAGAGGTTTGAGAGTTTGCAGAAGAAGTTACAATGAAGCAGAAAATCAAAATAAGAGAATGCTTTAACCTCTTCCCGTCTGGCAACATGCAATAGTAAACGGTTCGGATGGGAGTGTGCCTGGCCGATGTGGGTGGACATTTTTAGATGTCCCCCTAATTACCCTTGCCAGTGCGCGCTCCCTGGGAGTGTGCGGCACGCAACTGGTGTCCGCTGTGTCCGGAGGACCTCTGTGTGAGGTCCCGATTCATTGTGCGCACTGGTTGGCCAATCAGTGATCCAAAATGACATAGTAGTAAACAAGATGTCAATTCCTGACATCATTGCTTACTACTTGTGAAATCTGTGAATGATCTTATTCACAACAGCCTTGTACCATGTGACAAGCTGTGACCAATCACAGCTCTCACAGTATTTCTCAATGGCTGCAGAAATGCAGCCAGTGAGAGGAGAAATTATTGCTTTTACAGCCTTTCTGGGTGTAAAAGGCAATCAGTGTAAAAAAAAGTAAAAAAAATCTTCATCACCCCCCCACAAGTATTTCAGTTGTCACATTGGTGACATCTCTGTAATGGATAGGTGACAGTTATTAGTAATCAAACAAAAACATAAATAATAATATAAAAAAAATGTAAATCAAAAATTTGAATAACACTGTACTGATAGGTGACAGTATATTAGAAAACTAAACATAAACATAAATAACTTATAAAAAAAAATGTAATGCAAAAATGTTGAATAATTATGATTTTGGTTATAAACTAATTTGGGTTTATTATTTTTTTTTTACTAAAAAGATAGGAGATGATTACATTTTGGGCAAATATTTATGAAGAAAGATTATTTATTTTCAACTTGTCTAAGAAAAACACTTTTTTTTCAAAATTTTTGGTCTTTTTCATTTATATAGCAAAAAAATTAAAAATCCCAGTGCTGAATAAATACCACCAAATAAAGTTTTATCTGTCTCAAAAAAATGCAGAAAAAGTTCATGCATGGGTACAGTATTGCATGACCGCCGCGCAATTGTCGGTGTCAAGTGTACTGAAAGCACTGAAAGCTGAGATGGAAAGAGGGTGAAAGAGGGTGAAAGTGTCCATTAAGACTGTGGATTATTTTTTAAAGAAAATGTAAAAATGTAATGGATAAAATAAAAAAGAATTAAAATAGAAAAAAAGAATGGGGTTTTGTCTCGGTTGTTTGAGACAGAGAAAGGAAATGTAGACAACAGATTCTTCAAGGGGTCTGGGTGCAAGAGGAATTGGAAGGGATCAGTGCTAAGCGTCTTCCCTGTTTCATAATCACAAAACTGAAGCATAGTAAGAACACCATGGTTTTACCATGCTTGCATAGTTTTTGAATGAGCAGAGTGAGTGATTGGTACTGATCACTCACTGTGTTCATTCAGAAAAGAAAGAGGCTGGTAAATGACATATTTCCCAGCCCCTGTACCTGGCCTCTCGTCCTGCCAACAAAAAAAAGAAAATATCCCCTGTCAAGCAGCTGGCGAAGGTGAGAGGCGAATGAGAGGGGGGAGCTAGCTGACGCAGGGGGATGTGTCAGGTGCCAGTAGCACTGTGTGGGGGGACAGGGGGGCAGCAGATGATCATTAACCTACCACATGTTACATTGCATGTGGGGCAGGGGGGGCATGGGAACACCCGGCAGTAAAAATGAGAGAAGAGGAAAAGCATGAGGAGGGGATTTATTAGAACAGATCAGCTGTATTTTTCCTCCTGCAGTCTCTGGATACTGGCCTTTCAGTGGCTGCAGAAGAAGGAAAATATAGCTGATCCCCACCACCCTCCTCTCATCACTTTCTGCTGCCCCTGTCTGTGTGCCCCCTTTCCCCCCAACAGTGCTTGTGCCAGGTTTGACAGGGATGTATGGGGACAGCAGCGCCCCTCTTAATGTGGCACCTGGGGGCACATTGCCCCCCCTAGTTTTTTATGCCCTGGATTAAGAAATATATTTTAGTGACACTAGGGCTTATTTACACTTGAGATTGGGAGGCAGTAAAACCCCATGGTTGAGTTGTGTTTTTACTGCCCCTCAACCGCACCCCTTTTGCTGCATGGGGGTAAAATGGTCGGGGGTGTATGCATGTTGCAGCTGCAGTGCTTTGCAGCAGGAAATTACACATACACGGATCGAGCCTTTAGAGAGCAAAGTAGTTGTAAACGAGCCCAAGAGAATGTAAATGGCGCTAAAATCAGGACTGTTAAATAATTAGGTTTCCTTACAACAATCTAATAAACAACAGCAACATTTGGAAAAAAACTAGGTCCATTTTAAATGAAAAAGTTGGCTATCCTGCCACAAAAAGAAACAGCTGGGAGCAATGTAAAGGGTCCACATGTATTATCCTTATGTTAGTTTTTGCCTGATAGCTTTTTAAATACCTGAGATAATGAGATTTATGGAGGTGTGTGTAACCTGGTGTTAGAACTTACACATGACTGAAAGAAAACGATGAATAGAATAATATTAATACTTTAATTGCACCCAATTTATCTTTGCTGTTTGACTACTTTTTGCCTCTCTGAATATTTTGATATAATTTGACAGCATGGTTGTTGGATATATTGAGTCTGTTTGCAAGCTGTGTTCAAAATATGTCATCAGTAGGATTTCTCCAGACAAATAACTGCCTTCTTCTTTCATAACTTTATGTAAACTCTAGAATTTTTATCATTCACAGACTGGATTAAGGATGAACTCTATGCAAATATGGGCCAAATACACAGTTAAGTTATATATACTGTACTGTAGGGGCTATTTTATCTGTTTATTTGTAACTCTCGTGCCACATAACACAGCTGGGTTAACTGGCTGAAAATACCACCTGGCTCTTAGTGATGAGTCTGTCCATCCCCTTTCCAGCTTGAAAGCAGATTGTAGGGGATTTAAAGTGGTTGTAAACCCCAGACATGAAATCTGAACAAAGCATTTCCCTCTACAGTGTGTACCCAACCCAAAGAACTAAGTGTCATTTCTGTCTGCTGCCTCATTCTCCTGCTATCAGCATCAGTGTCTTCTGACAAGTTTTCCTGACACCAAGAGAAAAAAAGGTGACAGGGGAGGGAGCTCCAGCTGATTTACAGCCCTGGTTCTTTTCCTTTGTTTCTGTGTGAAAAGGGGTGTGTCACTTCCAAGGGCGCATTTACCACAAGTCAAACAAGGCATTTGCCTAGGGTGGCATTTTTTTATGGGGGCAGCACTGCCCCTTGGAAGAGGGGACATACTGTATGTGACACGGGGACCAGGTGGGATCTGAGAGAGGCTGCAGGCTGCTTGATGGTGTATGCAGAGCCCAACTGTCGTTCCTGGGGATGTCCAGAGCTGTGAATGTTCTCTCTGTCGCTGGGAGGGGGTTGTGTGTTAGTTTGGAAGGCTCAGGGGTTGGAATCGCCGAGCCTCTCGCTACAACGTCGTGACGTCAGAGCCCCTCCCCTGGGGACGTTGTAGCGGAGAGGCTCGGCGATTCCAACACAGACAGAGGCAGGCAGGGAGGGAGAGCAGAGGTAGAGGATTGCTCACCCACTATTGACTGTGATATTTATGCTGCCCTGGACCACCAAGGAACTGTATATCACTGTGTAATATCGCTACAGGCAGAAATAAATTTCCACTATTTAAAAGGATAAGGCACCATGGTCTGCTTTCTTTTCTCTACATCTGACCCTTAAATATAGAGCTGGTCTTAATATCGGTGTATGAGCAGTTGCAAAAGAGAAAGAGGAGAGTACAGGAGTACCTACATCCACACCTTGGCACATCTAAACACAGAGCATTAATCCACCGATCCTGGAAGGATCAAAAAGTCTATTTGCCTGAATTTATTCAGGCAAACATAAAGGTGAGCGCATAGGGAGACCACAAGGCACCTGGCGAGAGGGAATAAGGAATCACCTGCACTTTGGCACTTGTTTATAAAGACTTTATTTATTTATTTATGTATTATACTAATGCACGTGCACATTGAAATATGTTCTTGCACAAATAGTGCTGGATTGATCACATATAATTAGAGTGGCACTAATTATATTTATACCTATATTACATTCATTTATTTATTTATTTATTATTCACATTTAATTAAGGTTTTATATTGATTAATATTTATCACATGAATTTAGGTTGTTTATGTGTGTATTGGCAATATATTGGTAATTATTCAGTTATATTAGTTTATGGAATATCACTTATCACCATGATTTACATTTGATGTATATAGTTATTAATTAATTAGAATGAGAACAGATTGGATATAGAGATATATATGCACATAAATAGGAGCGCGGCACTATAAAAATACCCAATATTATGTAGGAGGATTTGTTTAACCGCCTCCCGCCCACCATATAGTCCAATGACAGGCTCAAGGTGGTTCTCTCGTTCTGGGAGGACGTCATAGGATGTCCTCCCATTCTCACGCGCGCATGCGCGGCTCCGGGGAGCGAGCAGCGCGGCGATCGGCGATGCCCTGTGTCCCTCGAACACAGCGGATCACCGATCATGGAAAGAGCCGAAGATGTCGGCTCGGTCATGTGATCAGCTGTGTCAAATCACAGCTGATCGCATGTAAACAGGGAAATGCCGGTTATCGGCATTTCTCTCCACATGAGCTGTCACGCTGACAGCTCGTGAGGAGAGCCGGTAATCGGCATTCCTCGGAGGGGACATGTACACTGATCATTAGAGCACTGATGATCAGTGTGCCCTGATGATCTGTGTAGCCCCAGCAGTGCCACCTGTCAGGGTCCATCAGTGCCAGCTGTCAGTGCCCATCAGTGCCACCTGCCAGTGCCCATCAGTGACACATCAATCTCACATATCAGTGCCTACTAGTGCACATCAATGACACATATCAGTGCCCATCTGAGCTGCCTTTCAGTGTCACACATCAGTGCCAGTCAGTGCCACCTATCAATGCCAATCAGTGCCACCTATCAGTGCTGCCAATCAGTGCCACCTATCAGTGTCAGTCAGTGCCACCTATCAGTGCCAGTCAGTGCCACCTATCAGTGTGCATCAGTGCGCCTATCAGTGCCAGTCAGTGCTGTCTATCAGTGCCGCCTATCATTGCCAGTCAGTGCCACCTATCAGTGCTACCTATCAGTGCCGCCTATCAGTGCCATATATGATTGCTGCCTTTCAGTGTCCATCAGTGATGCCTGTCAATGCCCATCAGTGCCACCTACCAGTGCCTCCTTATCAGTGCCCATCAGTGCCACCTATCAGTGTCCATCAGTGCAGCCTATCAGTGTCTATCATTGCAGCCTCATTAGCGCACATCAGTGAAGGAGAAAAATCACTTATTTACAAAATTTTATAACAAAAACTAAGAAAAAACTTTTTTTTTTCAAAATTTTCAGTGGTTTTTGGTTTGTTTAAGACAAAATAAAAAACCCAGAGGTGATTAAATACTACCAAAAGAAAGCTCTATCTGTCACAAAAAAATGCTAAAAATTTCATATGGGTACAGTGTTGCATGACCGCGCAATTGTCATTCAAAGTGTGACGGCACTGAAAGCTGGAAATTGGCCTGGGCAGGAAGGGGGTATAAGAGCCCTGTAGGCTAGTGGTTAATCTTTGTATCACCTCTCTGTGTCAGTCAGTTCACTAGGTATACAGTATGTGAGTGTTTACAACCATTTTAACCACTGGCCTTCCTAAAGGATTTACCGCCCTTCCTGACCAGACCATTTTTTGCGTTACAGCACTGCATATTTTAACTGACAATTGCGCGGTCATGCAACGCTGCACCCAAATGAAATTTACGCCCTTTTTTTCCCACAAATTGAGCTTTCTTTTGGTGGTATTTGATCGCCTGTGCGTTTTTAATTTTTTGCACTATAAAAAAATTTTGAGAAAAAAAGCAATATTTTTGACTTTTTGCTATTAAACATGTCCAGTAAAAAAAATGTTAAAAATCAAATTTCGTCATAAATTTTGGCCAAAATGTATTCTGCTATATGTCTTTGCTAAAAAAAAATCCTAATACATGTAAATGAATTGGTTTACGTGAAAGTTATAGCGTTTACAAATGGCGGAATAAATACTGGAATTTGTTTGCTTTTTTAACTAGTAAAGGCGGCAATCAGTACTTTTAGTGGGACTGCCGCCTTTACTAGCCTTTTTTAGTGGGACTACTAAAAAAAAGCACTGACACTCTACTAATGGCACTGGGCAGAAAGGGGTTAACATGAGGGGCGATCAAAGGGTTAAGTGTGTGCTGTGTGCTCTTTCACAGTAAGCTCTGTGTGTGTGCTTCCCTGTAATCACACTGCTTTGGATGGCTGTGCTGTGCGCAGCCATCCAAAGCAGTGTGCACGAGCTGACAGAGAGGAGAACTGTATTGTTTACATACATCGGATCGGAGATCCTCATCAATCACTGGCTGGGACCCGGTGATTGACAGCTGCGGTCGCGAAAGGTGGCGCAGGTAGGGCACGTGTGCGCCTCTACCCGGAGATGCAAAATTAAGTATATATATACATGATTTTGCGCACCTGTGCCATCCTGTAGCAATATATCTGCTGTAGGGCGGTTGGGAAGCTGTTAATGATGATTTATATATCTGCCCAAAGTTCAACTTTAAAGAGGAACTTCAGTCCCCTTAATCATGGTTCTGGCCCCCCCTCCACTGTCTGCATATATGCTAAGTTCCAGGCTCAAGCTCAGAAAGTCCCGAATCTCCTTGACTGTGCTGCCCTTGTTCATGTGCGCAGATGTTCCAAGGTATCTGCCGGGTCCCAAGGTTGGGCAGAGGCCTACAGCATACAGTATGTGTGCATGCTTGCACAATGTAATTCTCACCTAAGAAGAAGGAAGTGTTGCCCGGCAGCACAAAAAAAGAAAAAAAAAAGAAAAAGCAGTTACAAAAATTTCTCATTGTGGGAGAGGGAGGTGGCTGGAGCCAGGTGCACACTTTAGGGGAAATCTATTAAAACTGGTGCACACAGAATCTAGTTCAGCTCTGCATAGAAACCAATCAGCTTCTAGGTTTTAGTATCAAAGCTTAATAGAACAAGCCGAAGTTAAATGCTGATTGGTTACTATGCACAGATGTATGCACATGCTTTAGTAAATCTCCCCCATTGTCTTTTGGGGTAAGGTCCTCTTTAAACACTGGTTCTGCCATAGTGCCAGCATGGTATTGATGCAAACTGTCCATTTGTGAAATACTGTAACTAAACCCCATATGAAGTCTTCAGATGTGCATTCTAAAAATGTTTCACTCATTTATCTAGTTAATTTAATTTTCTAACTGAGGTTTGTGCCTTATGCTTATTAAACTTGAAAGCATGGAACTTAGATTAGTCTAATTTATGACTTAAACATGCTTATGTTACAAGAGTAAATTAAAACCAGAGTGCCTAATGTCAGAACTACTAAATGCTGCAGGTTCAAAATCAAATCTTAAAAACAGAAAGGTTTAAAAATGACATATATTACGTCAAAATATATGAGCATGGCATTATATATTTTCAGCCTGGGCTTTCTTAGCTGTGTTTGCCAAATTTAAAAATTGCGTCATGCAAACTTTAGCTAAACATCTAGATCAAAGATCCACATGTGGAAATACCACTCCTAAATATATATTTTTAGCTTCATTGGCTTTTGTTTTTTCATGAAATGAATTCCAGTAACATGATTGTAGTAAAAAAAAAAAGATAACAATATACTGTATTTCCCTGTAATCCTTTCTATTTAATGTCTATTGTTTTGGGTGCACAGTGGCTAAATGGTTAGCACTTCCCCCTGGCAGTACTAGGGTTGTCAGTTTGAATCCCAACCACGGCACTACCTGCTTGGAATTTGCATATTCTCCCTGTGCCTGCGTGGCTTTCCTCCAGGTATTCTGGTTTCCTCCCACACTCTAAAGACATGCTGGTAGGTGAATTGGCTCCTGTCTAAATTGACCCTAGTATGTGTATGAATGTAAGTTAGGGATCTTAGATTGTACACCCCTTGAGGGCAGGGGCGGACTGACCATTTTGAAACTTGGGCACTGCCTGAGGGCCCGGGTCAGTAGGGGGCCCCATGAGATGCCCATGGTACCTTTTTCATAGGCTTTTTTGAGTTTGGGCAAGGACACAGGGGCCCCATGATCCCCTATTGCCTGGGGGCCCTATGAATTGTCAGTTTGCCCCTGCTTGAGGGTTAGGGACTGATGTGAATGTACAATATATATGTAAAGCGCTGTGTAAATTGACGACGCTATATAAGTACCTATAATAAAGAAATATTATTTTGGGAGTCCACTCCTAATTCTTGGCGTTATCAATATTTTCTGTGACTATTGACTGGCTGTGACACATGCACTTCAGAGCACGAAAGGACACTTTGTGGAAAGGATGTATCAAATGCTGTTTAAAAAAGGAAGTATGTGCTGAGAGAAATTTGCAGGCTGCCATTGGTGACCTCCTTCAGAAAATGCCACTTGCCTGGCTGTGTCTGGTTTCAGTACTAGTCAGTGCTCACTGACCACTAACAAGCAGGCAGAACAAGAAAGTCAGAGTATAGTCAAAATTGCTGATCAGCATATTTGTTTCAGGTCAGCGACCCAACGTAGTGAAACTGCTGGATCATTATGACAGCCAGGTAACTGGCATTTTAAAAAGAAGAGAGATTAGCCATAGCAGCCTTCAGGCTTCCTGAATACAGGTTTACTTAAAGGTGTGCTCACAAATCATGGTTACCACAGCATGTTCTAGTGACAGCATTAATGCTTTATTAATAATCACTACAGCAGAATATTATTAATGGTGGATATATTAATGGACTACTGCTCAGGACAGAGTACTGGCATATACTGGGGGTTATTGGAGAACTGACTGTGAACACTGTAATATGTAAGCAATTTATTTCCTCTCCCCATCCATCTATCCTGTATATATTACAGCACATATGTATTCAATTGTCCATTGCCTCAGTTCATTACTGTACATTAGCCATCATTAAACTTTTAAGTGAAAAAAACACCTTGTAATCATAATTTGATATTCAATATGTTATGTACTGACAGGTCAGCCTGGTCGGGATAGCCCCCCTTCCACCTTTATGGTAAATTGAGGTTGTCCCATCAAAACAACCTAAGGGAACACTCAATGCGTTTTGATAAACACAAAACTCAAAGTCCAAGATAGAAAATCAGCACAAGGGACATGACTTACAATCAATGTGGAGTGTCCCTTGCATTGCTGGCTCCTGCTTAATATTCCTCCTCCAAACCCCATGCTGCCACAATCTTCCTGTGCAGAGGGAGTTAATAGAATCGAGATACCACTAAGGGGGGAGGGGGGGTGTCAAAGATTCATGATCTCAACTAAAACAGGAGACAGCATGCACCACTGGCAATAAGTAATGTTCCTTGTGCTGATTTTTTTTTTTCAAATTTTGACCAAACATAGGCTTTAAGTGAAAATTCACTTTGCAGAGCTGAGATTTATTTTCTTTGCAAAGTGAATTTTTACTTTGTTTTACCTCATTTAATGAAATGAGTGGAAACGCACTTAGCAAAGTGAACGTTCACTTTCAAAGGGAATATTTTCTACTTCTTAAAATTAAGGTAACTGAGTCGGGAAAAAAAAGCCCCACATCTCAATAAATGCATAACATAGAAAGTACACATCGTAGACAAAGCCTAATATACCAGGTGTACTTCCAATCTCCCCAGTAGCAGAAAATAGATCACATGTTTTACCCCTTCCTTCTTTCTGTCCAACACAATTGCTAAGCCACAACGAACACTGCTCTTTGCTTTGACATTAAGCAGTAAATACAGAATGTGTTTCAGTCAATTTAGACATCAATGGAGAAAACACAGTTAAAGAAAAACATGCACTAGTATGAGAAAGTGTCTGTTTTAAATTAAAACCAATTAAATAATTTGAAGAACACTTCCGTGAGTTCATAACTTGGTCCAACAGCAAATGTTTTTATATTGGTGTACTTCATACAACAAAATTGCATAAATATTTTCCAGCATGTTGTGTGCTATTCGTGGAGACATGGTTCAGAAATGAATAAAACAACTAATTTGAAAGGGAAAGGAAATCATGTTTAAAGAGGCGTGCCATCAGTGAAGTAGATTCCAACAAAATGTAATTAATAAAAACATAAGATGTCTTAAGAATTGCTATCTAAAGCCCAGCTCTGGCCAAAAA